TTTTTTGACAATCAAAATGTGAAGGCAAAGAAGACATTAATTTTAAATGCCTACTTTAGGGGATAATAAGCGGGTTTCCGTTAAGTATAGTCAGAATTAGGGCTGACCCTCTTTCCTTGCCATATATTGGTTTGCCCTTGACTCACTAATAACTTTTTGGAGATGCCATGTTAAGGATGGAGTATCAGTCCTGATTTTGGTAACTGTTTTTTTTAAAAATCTTTCTCATGAGCCTAAAGTCATCTAAAAGTATACTTTCGCAGACATGGAAGTTGGCCCCTAGTGGCAATAGCTTTCCATTAGAAAAAATATATAATAGTACTTGGGCCTTACACTAGCTTGTTAAATGCTTTCTCTCTCCAAAACATTTGCTTGGTGCTGGAGGATACATGATAGAGGGAACTCATACATGTCTTGCTGACACCCCTCGCTCCCAGGAAACTGTGGGATATAGTGCTGGACATGACGTTACCTTGGGTACATGACAGTCAGCCCCTAACCAGGCTCTGTTCGATGGGCCTAGGCGGCACTCTGTTTAGGTCCTTGGTAAGATATGAACTTGTGGTAATTGGGGCAACTACAGCAAATGTTTCCACTGTTTTTTTCTTCACAGTCCTATTTGACTTTACTAGTGTTGATATTTTACATGGAACAGCAATTTAAAAAAAAAAAAAAAAAAACAGTTGATGCTGGTGGGCTTATTGGGAAATACATTAGTGTTACAGTGTCTTAAGTGTCTGACTAACAGGGCCTAGGAGCAACTACATCAGAAAGGTACTTTTCTACTTTTTTCCTTGCAGAATTCTAGGCAGAATCTGGCGCTGGAGTTGGCTGTCATGTCCAAGTCTGTCAGCTTTTTTTGTTTGAAACAGCAAGGGTAAGATGAACTGCAGGGTAAGATGGGCTGTTTTTGAATATAATAGTCCAGTTATGATACCACTTCTTTTTTCCTTTTCTTTGATTTTCCTTTTTTTTTTGGCATTGATTTTGGAAGTTTGGAATAATCTTTTATTTATTTGAAGATGTGTTACCTTGCTGGACCCGTTCCTTAAATAATCCAATAAAAATACCAAAATTTAACAGGAATAAAATAGTCCATCTTGCCTTCATTCCATTTTACCCAGGAGATTTAAAAACAAGTATAGTAATCAGTTAACAAAAAGTGACTGTTTTGATACAATGATATAGTGGATATGGTAAAACTCTTTCTTTGAAATCAAATTTTTTGAATAATTTTAAAAATTTTTATGTATTTTTTTCCAATAAGACTTGCAATTGTTTATGCCACATTATTAACAGTTTCATTTTGCTTAATGTTATGACAAAAAAAAGTTCGTACATGTTCATTTTCAATAAATATTTGTGATTGTAAATTACATTGAATTTCATTTTTCCTATTTTCAATAATTAAGCACAAGAGGAGTTTATGTGCTTCAATTTGTCTCATTAGATTCTAAATTATGCAAATTACCTGGCACTGTATGCCAGTGTCTTCTCCGTTCTTTAGTACCATGATCAGGCAACTCCAGCAATGCATTATAGTCTATCTAGTTTATGCATAGCAATCTAGTATTATCATTGCTGCTCTATCAAATTAAATGTGTGGCATAGCCACCCATGTTTATCTGAAACTGTGGGACTAACTATAGAGATGGGAGATGTTTGTTTTATTTTGCTTTGTTTTCTTTTATCCAAGCATTCAATAAACAACCCCTTACTGCAATGCAAATGGCAAAAGTCAAGGATTTCTTTATATTCCTAGTGCATTTTATGTTATGTATTTCAGGTATGAAATACTCTGTCATATCTGCTCCTTTCAACAAAAGCTCATTTTGATTTAAGCAAGCAAGTTTTTTATAACACTTAATTAATATTTGCTTAATGCCTCAAAGATAAAGAGCTGTGTAAGTACTTCAGTATTAGTACTAACTTAGAGGTTAACTTAGAGCCACAAGTTTGTCTGGAAAGTCAATTCAAGTAACAGCTTTATGTTATTGATATAGATTTTTTTTCTTTTTTTTTTTTTTAAAGGCACTGATCCGTACATCTCCCATTACTATCCTTTGACTCCCACAGCTCCAAAAAGATATGTTTTTATAAGTGTAATTAGTTCTTAATTTTAGTTATGTGTGTTTGTACAAGCAGTATGCTAGCCTATAGCTTAAAGATTTATTTATTTTTTTTCACAATGGTTCCACCTCACCACTGTGGCAAAAAGTGCTGAACACTTATTAATGGTTTTCTGTGCACTGGTTTCAACTTTCTCCCCTGGTTTCTGTTAGGTTCTGAGCTCATGCCTAAAGCCCTCTCCACCAGGATAGTGGGAGGCATTTGGTGGTTTTTCACACTTATCATCATTTCCTCGTACACTGCTAACCTAGCCGCCTTTCTGACAGTGGAACGTATGGAATCCCCTATTGATTCTGCAGATGATTTGGCCAAGCAGACAAAGATAGAGTATGGAGCAGTTGAAGATGGAGCAACTATGACTTTCTTCAAGGTAAGCCTTATATTCTCTTTGCAAATATTTCATAATCATAATTGTGGTTGGAAAGTGTGTGCCTTGTTGAGGTGTATTAACGAATATGATTCCCTCTGCTGTCAAAAACAATTGAAAAGCACTTCTTTGATGATTTGCAAAATAGCAAAGAAAGAAAGTGTAGAATCTCGCATGGCAAATAAAAGATAATTTTTCTGATGATCTTTGCTTAAAGAATTGAATATACAGTGCTGGAATAGGTCATGAAGACCTGAATACTGTGCTCAGACAAACCTCCAATTGCTGTGTAGAAGAATGAGTTGTCAGAGTATAACTTACTGGATCGGTTCAACGGCATTTTGTTCAACTAAATGATCTTACAGTCTTTGCTTGAGCAAGTGGATCACATTTACAATATCAGTGCCTCAGATGAGAAAAGTCTTCTGGACTTCATATTTTAGGGAAAATCCAATTGAAATTGGATCCATAAAACAAGCTCAGATCCTTCCAAATTTTCTATTCCTTTTAAACTGTTATTTAGGTCGTTCAGTTTGAAATATAATGAAATGTACAGTTGTATTAGAGAGTAATATTTCTTTCCTACCTTCTCCAAGTATTTCATTTGGTTTAATTTAAGAAGTACATGCGAGGGACAAAGGCAGGTTTGTTTTCTGTCTTCTCATCTTTGATAGCACAGACATGTCTCAAATCTTCCATGGAGAGAGTTGTTCCCAAAATTTGGCTGGTCTTTGGTATGCTTTGAAGACATTTAGCTAGTATATTCTGCTTTTATGTGTTGTAAAATATGTGGTAAAATAAAGCTTTGAGGTGACTGTTACTTTGGTGCATCAAGTCAGGAAAACTGAGTCTCCAGGTAGCTTGTAAGATGGTCTAGAAATTGAGAAATGTACTCAGTGCTCATCAGATACAAGAAGACAAAATTTGTTCAGATACCAAGGCTAATACGTGCTATTTAATCTTACGGCTTTAGTGACACTCCAAATATATGCATTTCTTAGAATAATAATAGCTCTTTCAAATTCTGTTGGGAAATAAAAATCGATTGATGTTTACTACCTGAAGGTATTTAGGCTACTTACCTTATAACATGTGTTAGGAGGGTTCTGAATATCTTCCCCAGAATATTTCTTGGAAAAGAAGGTGAGGAAATTAATAGAAGTAACTAATCAATTAGAGATCTCATGATGACGGGAATTGTGTGAAGCAATTCAATGAAAGAACATTCAAAGAAAACTTAAAGAGTAAGATTTTTAAAAGAGGGAAAATGATTAAAGTCTCAATCCATAAAGAGACGACACAAGGTATTTACTGAGCTACCAGAAAACAATACAGGGCTTTAATTTAACTTTTGCCTGGTAGAACACTTTGAGCTTGTTATCTTACATATCGGAACTATGGACTCTAAAATATTAGAAAGAATTTTTTACTTAGATGTGTCTTTCAGTTTGGTTGCCAGAAATACATTTTTCTATATTTTCTTAACTTTTAGTTTTCCTTTTTCTTACCCCTTTATTTTCTATATTTTTCTCTCTCTTTGTGTATGTATGTGCATATGCTTTTTTTTTTTTTTTTTAGAAATCATATTTCTTTTTTTCTGGATTTTTTTTCTCCTCTCTCTATTAGTATACCACTCCCTATTCTTTTCTCCTTTCTGCATACTTTTTCTTTGCAGCTTTCTTCCTTTTTCTGTTTCTATTTATCTAAATATATTTTGCATTTGCCTAGACCCAAGACTTACCCTAAACAAAGTAGCAACTGCACATCCTGCATAGAAAGACCTTTGTTTTAGCAGTATATGCATTGGAAGTAGACTAGGCTTACACACAGTAGATTTATATTGTTGAATTGCATAGTTTGGTATATAACTGCTTGTAATACACTCTGAATATTCCTACTTAATTATGAAAGAGAGAGATAAAAACAAAACAAACATTTTCATTTGTTTGTTTGTGTTTCATTCAGAGGCTGAATTTGAAGTCAAATTTAAGGTTATTCTGTTGAATAAATATGTTTGATAGAATGTATTTGTGAACAAATCATAGCAAGTATTCTGTGCCATACAATTGCATCTGTAGTTAAGTATTTATATTACAACTATCAATTAACTGATTCCTAATCCTTTTCTGTTTATAATTTACTATCTTTTCTAAATAGTATCTAAATTAATTAGTAACATTTTCTACCTAGAAGTACAAAATAGCTATAGCACTAAAAGTAGTTACTACTGTTGTAGCAAAAAAAAAAAAAAAAAAAGTGAAAATTATGTTCTACCAGAAAAGAAAAATGAAAATTATATTATTTCATTTGATTCATTTGGTTAATGAAGTATTTTCCAGTTATGAATTAGAGCTTGCTTGTAAATTATGAGAGCTTGCTTGATGTAGATGATATTTGCTAGAGCTAGCTGTGTAGGGAATACAATCTAATTAAATATATATTTCATCAAAAAAAACCCCAACAACATTTAGATACATTCTACTTATCACAGTAAATTTTCTGATAAAATTGGGCATTTTTGTCTAGTTAGGTTGATTAGTATCCTATAATTTGATTATCAGAAAACAGAATGCTGTAATTCTGATCAATGTATCTTATGTGTACTTATATATATAAACAAATGAAATGTATAAAGAAATTGCTTCAGAAATACCATTTTATTGTATGAAGAAAATAAAAAGGTAAGAAAATAATTAAAATAAGACTGTAAATTGGATTGCCTTAGAGGACATTAGAAGAATTGAACAATTCATAGTTAATGTTAATAACATAAGAACACTAAAGTACACTAAACTTTCAGAAAATTATCTTAATAGGCAGAAGTGACATTGAATGTAGATAATATAGAAAAGACAAAATGATGTGTACCTTTTCCTGTATTGCATATAAAAATAAGGTAAATATTGTATTTTAAATTGCTTTTAAAATAGATTCAGTAAGCTGAATGTGGTTTTGAAACAGTGACTATTAAATCGTTTGATATATAAACAAGGGAATACTAAGCAGGAGAGGTCATTAATGAAATAATCTGCCAAGTTCTGGCAACCACACTTCAAAATATGTTTAAAATTAGAGAAGATTCCTAAAAGCTAAAAGAATGACTGAAGGTCTGGAAGTTAGCCTTAAAGTTAGAAGCTAAAAAAGATCAGCTGCTTAATCTGTTGAAGAGAAGGTTTAAGAGGTGGCTTGATCCTGGTCCATAAGTGCCTTAACGAGAATGAGATTTTTGATAGCAGATTGCTGTTTAATCTAGCAGAAAAAGACATAATGAGATCTAGTGTTTCAAAGACAGAGTTCAGGAAATTCACACTAGAAATAAGGTGCATATTTTTAACAGTGAGAGTAATTAACCCTTGTACAACTTATCTACAGACATTCTGGATTCACCTATCACACATTATCACACACTGTAATGAGAAGAATGGATATAGCATAACCCAAACAGATGTGTTTTTATTTTTTTTATTTTTTGGAAAGGCTACTCAGTGAATTACATAGCTTTCACTGCACAGGAGCTCAAATTAGATTTTAGTAGTAGTCCCTTCCTACATAAAAAATCTGTGCTAGTATGACTTCTCAGAAGTTGCACAAAAAAAGACTGAGAATATAATTTTTTCTGTAAGCATCCAGTGTGTATGTTTTTTTGTCATCTACTTTGTCTTGATATAATGAGACTGGATTTAACAAAACAGTGACATTATGTTACAACATGAAGTGAAGGCACCAGATGGTTTCCTAATGTTAAATTAAATTATCATATCTTGGTAATAGTTATTAGTTCCAATCACAGTGAGGCTCAGTAGCTGCCCATGAGACTGACAGTAATTTCTGCATAAATTATCTATAGAGAAGTCCGTTTAAATTTTTGTTTGCAAAACTTTGGAGCTTGGCCAAAACTGTAGTGATGCTAAAACAAAAGAAAAACATTTTTGAAAGAGAACTTAAATGAGAATCAAACATACACATTAACTGCAAGATTAACACCTGCTGGAGTAAAAACTTGGAGAGCACCTATATATGCTTTAAGAATACTGTAATCTTTGTGAATCAAACATCCCTGCCAAATAGATTTCATGAAAAAGGATAATGCTCAGATTTTTAACAAAATACCTTCTCCAGAGGTTGATTAGATACTTCAGATTTTCCTCTGTCTCTTTTCAGTCTGAGAAATATGATGTTGTAGCTCTTTTTAGCCGCTAGAAAAAGGAGGAAATTTTCAGTGCTCTCTCTTTTTGTAAGAGCTATTTACTGGCTTTGAGCATTCAAAGGACGTAACTTTTGAAAAGTCTTATATGACTGGTAGGAAAGCAACAAAAAGGCCTTGGTATTATTCAAGAATTACAAGTAATAAGTGTGGAAATAGATTCTAAACCATATCTAAACCATATCTGGTTTAGAATTTGTAAATTATTTGTAAATGATTTTTTGCACAGGTAGTTTTTGAAGTTGTTGTGTACTTTTGCTTTTTTCATGATTTTTCATTTCTGTACCTTTCAATGTCAGTAGCAGGCACAACAGTGCTTTTCTCAGGGTTACCAGCATAAACAGTAATAAAAAACAAAGTCATTTTTCTCTCTCTAATAGCAGCAACTTAGTGTCATTACATCTGTACCAAGAATTAAACATGTTTTCAGCTCTCTCTGAGAGCTGTATATTTCATATGCTTGTTTAGCTGATAAGGAAGCTGAAGCACTAAAAGCAAATCCATCTTTTTCAAGGTCAGACAGTAAAAGGCAGAAGACTAACTCAGGAGTGGTGACTCCTTCACCTAAGCTTTATCAGATAAAGCTTTTTTTTTTTTTTTTTTCTCTGTTACTTTTGACATTCCTTTCATTTTCAGGACACATTTTAATATTCCCATTCTACTCTTCTACAGTACTGTTTTTTTTTCTGTACTAACTCATTTTTTTCTATAAAAATCAATTCTGACAACTCGTCTTTCCCTTCCCTTCCCTTGCCTTCCCTTCCCTTCCTTTCCCTTCGCTGTCCTGTTCTGTCCTGTC